TGTCTGTTGTAAAGGAGGGACAGGCAATGGAGGGAGAGAGTCTTGCTTGGCCAACATGCTGAAAGGCTTGTTGTGAACTGCTGATGTCTTAACCATGTTTGGTCTGGCAAATTTCACAACAATCTAAAATGACGCAAAATAACAGAAACAACATGATTGGTGAACATGACAGGAACAAAAACACAGCTACATGTATATTGTATTTAGTTCTATTTTACAAGAACATTATTCACTCTCGATTTCTAACAACTATCACGCACAGAAATCAAGAGAAATATAATATAATCTAATTACTTTAGTATAAATCTACTAGTCATTCAAAACATTATTTAAATATCCTCTTCAGACACTTTGAAAATGAGAAGCAGCAACCACGAGTTTGTTTACAAGTGCTCACTGCTGGGCTTTAGCTTAACTCACTATCTAAAACAGAAATGATAATGAGTAGCGTGGCCAATCAGAGAATGGCATTTGTGATAGAATGCTAGTCCATTTATTTTTTGAACAAAATCGACAAAAGCAATTTTCTACAATGGACGGGCCTCCATCATTCTCTACCTTCACATTTAAAAGAAATCAGCCTAGATACACCAATCATATCTCCACCACTTATAATTGAAAATAAAATATTCGATATTAAAGACAAAAAATCAAAAGATTATTACTCACTGCTGGATTCAAGAAAAGCTCAACCTCCTAATATTATCCACAAATTGAAGAGTGATTTTAATTTCACAACCCAACAATTTAGAGAAATCTTCTCGTTACAACATTTAGTTGCACTGGAGTCATATGTCAAGGCCTTCCAATACAAAGTAATTAACTCTATTCTCTACACTATGTTCAGCAAACTATGCAAAATTGGATTTAGAATTAATGATGCATGTACTTTTTGTAGTGATGAACCTGAGAATTTATATCACCTTTTCTGTGAATGCCCTCACTCCAAAACGTTCTGGAGTGATTTCAAATCGTACTGGTACCATCTATTGGATCAGCCAATCCATCTTTCTGCACAAAACGTTTTATTTGGAGTTTTATCCAAGCAATGCCCTTTATCAAACTTATTAAACTATTTCATAATAACTGGAAAATTATTTTTGTGGGACTGCGGAAAAAGCCAAACACTTCCTAAAATTCAAGGACTGCAATCAAAACTTAAGATTAAATATGAAACTGAAAAAAATATCAACAGGAAAAACTTCTTTGAAAAGAAATGGGTGCTCACTTCAATATAATTAATTATGCCCATCTTATTTTATCACCTTTTCATTTTAATATGAATGTATCTTTTATTTTGTTGCTCATTGCTTTAATATGAATGTAAGTAGCATCAGTAATCATATTATTTTGTAAGTAGTGTAAAAAGTGGTATCGTAAGTTAAATAAGTAATCATATTGTTTTGTAGAGTAAGTTATACAAATTGTATTATTGTAAGTAGCACCTATAATTGCTTTGAATTGTAACTAGTGTAAGTAGTGCATAAGTAACTGAATTGTATAAAAAATGTTTTGTCAGTAATGTAATGGACTTTAGTAGTTGTATTACTTTTGTAAATAGCGTAAGTAGACGCACCATTGTTTGTAAGTTGTGTGAATCACAATTAAAGAGTCACAAAAAAAAAATAGTCGATTTATACTAATTATTAATTAGCCTCATAGAAATCAAGAGCAAATAATCTAATTGTTTAAGTAAAATTTTTACTTAAATTTTCTTCAACTAACCATTTCCAATTGTTTTTGTACATCATATTTAACTTTACACTTTAGAAAAATCTTGTGGACTGAATTGTCGTTTGAAATTTCCTGTTGTGTACATGCCCATCAGTTTCTTCAACATTTTCTAGTTTTCTTACAGTCACAAAACTGTGAATGGCCTTCAGTTTAGTCTTCTCAGGAATTTAATTATCCATTTGTATTTAACTGTTCTTCCCTAACTTCGCAAAAACAAGAAAACGTCACTATTTTACAGAGGACCTCCAGCCACTGCATTCCAATGGCTGATAGTGTACGAGTAGTTCAGCTAATCAGATTGCAGCAAATGCACTAGTATACAGTTGACTCCCGATAACTTGAACCCTCGCTAACTCCAACCCCCACTAACTTGAAGTAATTTTCATTTCCCTACAGGCCATTTTCTATATAATTTTACCCTCAATAACTCAAACCTTTTACTATTTCCCCTGAAGGTTGAGTTATTGGGAGTCGACCTGTGCTGGTAGAATTCTACTAATTAGATCTAGACCAATCAAATTTTGTGTGTTTGAGCACTGTGTTTTGATAAGTAATGCCATGAAAGGCATTAAGTCCTTATGGAAGTGTCTTGGAAGTCATTACTATGGAAGTGTCTTGTGTTTCTGAGCTTCTGTTTCATGTTAATATCAATCTGACCCCTGCAAAAATGCCTGGTGCACTTTGGAAGTGGTTTTGGCTCATAATCATTATGACAGATTTTACATTTCCCTGATGAAAGGGGGGGATGCCACCCCTCACCCCTACCCAGACTTGTTCCCTAGGAATGAATTTGACCCGCTAGCCGCCAATCTAAATCCATAATCAGACCATCTGTACCATGACAGACATAGACAATATTACATGCCCACGCATGGATACAAATTTTATCTTTGAGTGTTCAACTCTATATCTCACGAGTGAGTGCGACGAGCAAGTGAGATATTGAGTTGAACACAAGAAGATATAATTCGTATCCACAAGCGGGCATGTAATATTGTTTATTATATAAACATACTAATGACGACGTTTTTGACAATTTCCGAAGATTTCTGACCACTTTCTGAAGATTTCCGAAGATTTTCCAAAATTGTGCCGAAGGCCAGATGAACGCTTCTGAACATTTCTGAACATTTTCCGAAGATTGCCGCAGTTTGCCGAAGACGACCAAAGAAGAGCCAAAGAAGAGCCGAAGATGTTTCGATCATACATCAACAAATTTAAGTGTAGTTAAAGGGACAAAAGGAAAATGTTATCAAAAAGCAGGACATAACGTGTCGATTATTTCGATAGTCGATAAAAATCAATCGTTGTCGATCGAATTCGATACTAATCAGTCAACAAATATCAGATGTTGATAAAAATCAATTACACGATTTCCTGTGATTATCGACTTTGATAGACTTTGATCCATTTTCATTTTTAGTTTTTTATTCACCTTCATTGCCATATGGATTTACTTAAGAGCTGTTTACACTTCTATAATTTCGTGGCCGATTGAAAAATGTCTGCATTTTTGTTGATAAAATCGATAATTCTAATCAACAATGATTTAGATAAACATATACAGGCAAAAACTAACGATAGATAAATCCGACGT